GACAATGACTAGGGTCTCACCTTCTACTCCTTATATCTATTCCTTTTGATCACCACTTAGAAGGGAACCTACTATTACAGTAAAACTGTATATTACTTAAAATAACAATTATTTATAACTGTAAATCTATGTTTGGCTGTTTATGTGTTTGGCTGTTAAACTAAGCATGTCTGAAAACTCTTTCTGGTTTAAAACGATGTATGTATGTAAAAGTAAGTATTGCTGTAAAAGTATGTATGGCTGTAAAACCAAGTATGATTACAGCCTATTTTTTGTTTTATATCTAGGTATGTCTGTAAAACTGTAAACGTATGCATGGTTGCAAAGTATAATAGCTGTAAATATATGCATGGTTTTTAAACGTGGTATAAATAAAAAAATAGCACAATAAAATTAAGCAGTTACTGATGTGACGGGGTGGTCTAGGGGTAACCCGAAAGTCTCGAGTTCGAATCCGGTTTCAAGTCAGTAGAGCTGCTTGACATAGTGCTGACCATTCTATCCCTTCATATGCCGATGTCACAGAAACAGGTGAACTCTGCTTCACTTGCGCCATGCACCGTCAGGTTCAAATAGGAATCTCTACTAATAATGTAAGACAACGTTTAAAGTCACCTCATCATCCAACACACAGCATCACAATTGACGTCAGTTCCGCCAAAATGGCGGATACTGTACACACATTACGATTGATTTATTCCAGTCTCAATAAAAGGGGAGGGGTTGTGCGGACGAAAACATTGCTAATCTTAATCACAATGTTCGTGAAATTAGTTAATTTTGGTCAGCTAACTTTAAAAAAATGGATCCTATGGGACAAAGCATTTTTTTTTCTTTATTTTGCCAACGAACCCTGAAACACAATTAGGATAAGCTTGATTCAATTGGTGTTTGATGTTGCGTAAATAAATAAGACAAAACCTTGGAGAATAAGCGAGGCCGAACGCTTATTTTATGTAATAAGTGGTTTTGTATTACACTGCGCATGCGTACCGCGTGCTGGGCCGCGGCGTGACGTAACGAAGAGTTGATTGCTTGATTGCGATGGCCGTCATGGCGTTAGCACATGACGTCACAACTTTTAATTGTTTATTTTACTAATTAGGTATAAACAAAAACTCTTGAATATCAAGCAGTTATCCGAATACCGTTGTGTTTTGAATAATAAATAACAATTTTTCGGAATATATTACCCGATTCGTTTACACAAATTAAAAGCGGCAAAACTGCCAGATAAATAAATAACAAAATAAGTTTGGGACATAGACGTTTATGGCACTGTTCTATGCATCTTATTCACCTAATTTCGGTCTCGACTGTAGCATGCAATTGAATCTGGTTACCCTGTAGAAATCACACGTGATTCTATGAGATAAGACGAGATTGTATGAGATTACATGGGATTGTATAAGATCACATGAGATTGTACGAGGGCACTGGGGAAAATACGAGATTATATGAGATCACACAAGATTGCGTAAGATTACACGAGATTGTATGACATCTCACGATATTTTACGAGTTCACGTGAGATTGTAGGAGGGCACTCTTGAAATTACCAGATTTTATGCGATTAAACGAGATTGTATATTACACGAGATTTTTTAAGATAACAAGAGATTTTACGAGATCACATGTGAAGATTGTTAGAGATCACACGAGATTGTCGTAGATCAAACGAGACACGAACATCCCACGTGACACACAAAGAACGGCTCCAGCCCCTACATCGCTCACGCGCTAATTAATATTCATAAAGATTTATATTTCCACGCAAACAATTTTACTTACCGGGTCATATTTGATATAAATCTGACACCTTTGAATATCATCCGCACCAAAAGAAAAGAGAAATTTTAATGTATAGCTCGATAATTTGATCGTGTTAATATATTACATGAAGGAGTCATCCATCACAAAATAAAAGGTAATGTTTAATGTAGATATTAACATACATTGTGTGTGTCAGTTTTGAGGTGATCTATTTTAAACGTTGTTAATTAATTCTGGTGTTTTATCGGCGTGAGTTAAGGTTTTTACAGCAACTCTGCCGCGCGCAGGCTAGGATCAACAGAGCGGGCTGATTTAGGGAAGTGATTCATTGGGCAGTTTCAACATCCGTCTGCTTGAGACAACATCTTCATTAGCAGGGGCGTCCCTGTAGACAGGCAGGGAATTCCCTGCAGGCAGGTCGCAGGGATTACAGAACAAACAAGAAATTTCAACATATAAACACAGTGGTATTATTCATTTTGAGTTTTTGGGAGGGAAAAGTTGTAAAAAATCTCCAGGGGTCATGAATCAGTGTCGGGATGACCTGGAAGAATTGAAGCAGACGTGGGGTGGTGTCAAATAAATGTTGACAGAGCTGGGGGGGGGGGGGATGAGGCTGTTGGCTGTTTTTTGTTCTTTTGTTGTGTCATGATCTGCTGAGGTTAAAAAACATGATCGATCTATCGGCCAATCGTCGCGTGGATTAATGAATAAACCAATCAGAGTTTGAACTGATTGGCTTCCATTCCCCCCACGATATAATTTGAAGGGGGCGGGGGGGGGGGTGGGGGTATCTCTTTAACATCCACCCTACGATCCCTTTTTGTCACCTCCCCTCACCTCACTATGCAAGTACCCCCACTCCACCCCACCCCCTGATCACAGTCATCCCTCTGACCCCACGAAACCAGGGTTCCTTTTCGACACAATTCCAACCCACGATCCCATGATCCCATGATCCCATGATCCCATGATCCCATGATCCAATGATCCCACGATCCCATGATCCCACGATCCCATGATCCAATAATCCCACGATCCCATGATCCCATGATCCAATAATCCCATGATCCCATGATCCCATGATCCCATGATCCCATGATCCCATGATCCCATGATCCCATGATCCCATGATCCCTTCTTATCGCTAACCCAGCCCAATTATCCCAGGTTCCCATCTCGACAACACCCAAACCCACGACCCCAGGGTCATTTCCCGTCACCACTCCACCTCCCACCCCCCACTTTTCTTCACCACTCCCACTCCACAAACCCCGGGTTTTTGTTGAACCCAGAAAAAAATACCCGTTTCCCCATACCAGTACAAGATTTACGGCTAGAAATTTTCCAATACCATGAATGACTTACAGTTGGGAGTTGTTGTATTTCTAATACTATACATGTGTCACATCCCTTACATACACGCCTAACACAAAGCCAGAATAAAACGTTCGATTACATTATTTCTTACCACTGATTACGATTGATACCCGACTAATTACATCAACTTTTAACATTATTCATCACATCCCTTCATGAAACTTTATCATTAAATACGTCATGTTTACCCATAAAGTCATTTGGGGAGCGGACTTAAAAATTTTCAAATCACGAAACATTCAAAGGTTTCGGTCACATGGCAAAAATGTATGGTAAAACTGTATGGCAAAACTGTATGGCAAAAATTATGGCAAAACTGTATGGCAAAACTTATGGCAAAACTGTATGGCGAAAATGTATGGCAAAACTGTATGGCAAAACTGTATGGCAAAACTTATGGCAAAACTGTATGGCAAAACTTATGGCAAAACTGTATGGCAAAACTTATGGCAAAACTGTATGGCAAAACGTATGGCAAAACTGTATGGCGAAAATGTATGGCAAAACTGTATGGCAAAACTGTATGGCAAAACTGTATGGCAAAACTGTATGGCGAAAATGTATGGCAAAACTGTATGGCAAAACTGTATGGCAAAACTGTATGGCAAAATTGTATGGCAAAACTGCTGTATGGCAAAACTGTATGGCGAAAATGTATGGCAAAACTGTATGGCAAAATTGTATGGCAAAACTGTATGGCGAAAATGTATGTTATCGTTACGTAATATGGCCAAGATAAGATCGTATTATCAAGAGTCGCAGGTTTTGTTGGCCAAGATTATATGGTGGAGTTATGTCATATCATCATCATCTTTTACCAAGACACACGGAGCAGATGAAGTAGAGTTCATCTGTTTCAGTAACCTCGGCATACAATAGTGGTCAGCACTATACCAAACCGCCTTTGTTTTCCTAGCATGAGTCAGGTACCCTTCAGTAAGAGTGGAATCAGGGACGTATTATATTACAGAATCGAGCCCTGGATTCGAACTCGAGACTTTCGGGTTGGCAGACTTAAGCTCTACCACTCGACCATTATGTCACATGATCAGATTTATATGGTGGCGATTACGTCATAGTATTAAACGTAAGACCTCAGTTGTAAAGACCGACAAGGCGCGGTACATGATCATTAATGTAATTAAAAACCACATGATTAAGTTCATTATCAGATTAAAAATGTCAGTTGGCCTATTAATTATGCAGTTCACTTTTAAGAGTAATGATTTAATTTTCTTTTCTAATTAGCTTTAAATGTAAGAAAGTGTGTGTGTGATGGGGGAGGGAAGGGGGAGGGTGAGATGGAATAAGATGGCGTGAGGTGGGATGAGAAATCTCGTGTCTTTATTTGGTCGATCATTGTTAGTAAGAGTTAAATGACCCAGGTACTAGTTAGGGTCACCTTAACCTAGTGTAACCTTAACCTAGGGTCACACGTTTAGATAAGGTCACGTGACTACGTGTCACCGACATACATACGGTCACATATCCTACAATCACATAACAATTGAACATATCCTATACCTTCTCTATTCTCCATGATTGAGTATTTATGTCAGAGTAAGCTTATAACGAAACAATCAGTAGAAATATATTCAATAACAAGACCGTTTATATTAATAACTCAATTTGTGTTATAATTAAAATATAAAGCCGTCGCCCTGACTCCTCGACTCCCCACGGTGACTGTGACTCCGACCAGAGTCACCAAATAGAATTCCCCCTGACAAGTTGTGGGGCGGGTGGGGTGACGGGAGAGGCGGGGTTGGAGCGGTGTGAGGGGAGAGCGTGAGGCGGGGAGACGAGTGAGGGATCGATGCGCCATCATTACTCGCGAGGCGCGGGATTATGACGGATTGAGAGGCTAAGAGAATACGGCCAGTCTTATATAAACGGGGCCGTTCTCCGCATGTAGGAGACACTAGGGGACACGCACTGCGGGGATATTGGACTCGCTCACAGGTTGGACGCTTTCATTTACACTTGACACTTGTCTTCATAGGGAACTTTACTTTTTTACCTATAGAAAAAAATAAGTTTTACCTATAGGGAACTTTACTTTTTTACCTATAGGGAACTTTTCTTTTTACCTAAAGAGAAATGTACGTTTTACCTATAGGGAACTTTACTTTTTACCTATAGAGAAATTTACGTTTTACCTATAGAGAAATTTACGTTTTACCTATAGGGAAATATACTGTTTTACCTATAGAGAACTTTACTTTTTACCTATAGGGAACTTTACTTTTTTACCTATAGGGAACATTACTTTTTACATTTTTTTACTAGTTTCGATATTATTGTACCTTTTAGATATCTATATGTAAACCTGTTCTTAGCAAGGTTTTATATTTTAATTTTATTTTATCTTAAATCTATGTTAAATAGAAAGTTCTTTGTTTTATTTTCAATATTTTTTTTTTAAATGCCTATATAATCTATAAAACGTAAAAACTTTGGTATTTGGATCAATAGTTTTAAGATTTTGTTTAATAAAAAAACAAACTTTTTTTTCCTCTAAATTTGTTTTTCATACAAGAAGAGGGTTGATATTTAAATGTTAATTAATCATTTAACAAAGGCCTCACAAAATAACCTCGTACATAAAGACTTGTTTTTTTTTTTTACTCAACGATTAAACTAGTTGAGATGTTGTATAAATATTTCCATAAAAACTGCTGTGCAAGAAAAATAAGAAACGTTTGAAATTGTAAAGATATTTTAAATTAAATCACACAATTTTAATTAATAAAAAAAATCAATATTAAATTATATACTTTATTTTAAATAGATTTACCATGTTTCTATCAATGGCTATGGTCTTGCTACTTCTTTTGTCCCCTTCATTCTTAATTAAATTTATGTTGGAGGATTTAAACAAGTCCAACTTCGTGGTTGAGTTGAGGATTTAAACAAGTCCAACTTCGTGGATGAACTGGACTTTGGTCTGCAGATCTGCGGGGGCTTCATAAAATGTTTCCTATGGTACCTCAATACTGTTCATAAAATAGTTCTCCAAGTTCAGACCGTTAACATTTGTTGACAGACCTAGCACTTCCAACTGTCGTCACGGATGACTGCTTTCACATGGGAGGGGGGGGGGGGGGAGGAGTGGAAAGAGAGGCTGAGGATAATCGTCCTTCACTAGCTTCTGATAGTGTTTTAAAGCAAAATATTTTCAGTCGCAACAATTGGTAGTGTCGAATTTACATATTATGACTTCCTGAAAAATAGGAATTAAACTAAATAGAGGCGTATGCTACTTCGCGGATCAGCTCGTTTTTTTTAAAAATTAAATAACTTCTCCCAGTGACACAGCTGATGGGTTTAATTAATTGCTTCACGTTTAGTTACTGCAGCTCTTCTGAGAAATAAACATAAAACATAGAATAACACATGTACTCAAGAACTAATTTGATTGGTTAAATGTGTTATATAACACGATTGTTGACTATCTCCCTAATTAACGGAGTGGTCTAGCGGTAGAGAGCTGGACTGCTAACCCGTTAGTCTCGAGTTCGAATCCGTAGACCGTCCCTGAGTCCACCCAACTCTGATGGGTACCTAACTCACGTTATGGAAAGTAAAGGCGGCTGGGCATAGTGCTGACCACACTATCTCTTCATATGCTGAGGTCACAGAAATAAGTGAACTCTACTTCACTTGCCCATAGACCGTCAGATTTGTAAGGGAAACTTTACTTTTTACCCTAAATAACACAATATAACATAAGTATATCCACCTCCAGAGCTACCTTTGATGTACTTAATATGTTCACGATCACTTCGTATAAGTTATATTTTTTTTACAGATGATGATGTGTGATTAGGTTATAAGGTTAAAATATTTTTAATAAAATACTGTGATTATATGGCATGCAGATAATAAAACAAATTTATTAATAGCCAATTTATTTAATTGGAAAACTTGATATTACCAAAGTTGCATTGATTGAATGACTTTAATCATAATCTCTGCTGTAATGACGTAATCAATCAAAACAACAGATCGAAGTATTATTCTAGGTTGATTTTATTATGATAATAATTACGTCTTTAATCTTGCTCCCATCAGCTAAGATAATTATTTTGTTAATTAGTTAAAAAACACGAGGGTATAAAAATGCAGAAAAGTAAATTGCAGCAAATATTCGTTACAAAGAAAGAAAAAATGGCTAATGAGCCTGACGATACTAAAAACGTTTTATTAATTAACTTGAGGTCTAATATTTTATGAACTGATAATACGACACGTCATTAGAATCGCACCCACCCCCTCCCTTTAAAAAAAGATTATTAAATTTTCTTTCAACGAAATTGTTTGAGGTGAAAAATCTCTAAGCTAAAATCTAATATATAAAGCTCAGTTCTGTATGTAATGCATTTGTATGTCGTTGGAATTGTACGAATTTAAAAGTTAGAAAATTATCGTGCGCATTTGTCTAAATTTATGAGCTAAAAAATTACTATTGAAAGTGTTGGGAAATAATTTTCATTTTTCAAATTATAGTAATAATTGTCGGCATGTTCATTAAACACAAGTTTTAAAAAAAATATCATCTTTTACAAAAATTCTAATTATGTCTTTATTTAGTCCTATAGCACTTACTTCCCTTTGATAAATTAGGAAAAACACAATTACTTCCCTTTATAAAACCATTGCATTCCGTGAAAATAATTTACTTTTTAATTACTTTGTTTTGGTGTTGGGAAAAAAAATAATTACATAATTAGCGGGGATTGATCAAGTGCAAATGTTGTAGGTATTTTACGGATAAGCTTGGAGTATTAAAATTGTTTATTAAATTGAAACAGGCGCGTTCGTTTAAGTGAGTGCAAAAGACTGTGAATAAGTTGGGGTACTATAGTCGTTCATTAAGCTAAAACAGGTGATTCCGCCCCGGGCGTTTATGTTCGCGTTAGTGTTTTCTTTGTGTTTAGGTGGGTTTGCGTTAGTGGTTGCGTTTTAATTTGGTTCGTTTTCGTTCTTTCTTTTTTCGTTTTTGTTTGTGTTTTTTTTGTTTGGGTTTGTATTTGTGTTTTTGGTTGGTTTTGCGTTTGGATTTGGTTTGTTTTCGTTTGCTTTTTTCGTTGATTTTTTTTTTGTTGGTATTGGTGTTTGTGGTTGGGTTTGTTGTTAGGTTTTTGTTTTCGTTTGCTTTTTTGTTTGTTTTTTCTTTGTGTTTGTATTGGTGTTTGTGGGTGTGGTTGTGTTTGTTGTTAAGTTTTTGTTTTCGTTTGTATTTGTAATTGTGTTAGCGTTATGTTTGCGTTTTGTTGTTTTGGTTTTGGTTGGTTGTGGTTTGGGTGGGCAATGCCGGGTTTATGATGATTACTAAACACACAGGTAATGGTCTTTAACAGAAAGGTTTTTCACAGAAGCCAGAGCAGGGCCTGGCCGGGACGGCTAGTCTAATATATAAAGCTCAGTTCTGTATGTAATGCATTTGTATGTCGTTGGAACTGTACGAATTTAAGTGTTAGAAAATTATCGTGCGCATTTGTCTAAATTTATGAGCTAAAAAATTACCGTTGAAAGTGTTGGGAAATCATTTTCATTTTTCAAATTACAGTAATAATTGTCGGCATGTTCATTAAACACAAGTTTAAAAAAAATATCATCTTTTACAAAAATTCTAATTATGTCTTTATTTAGTCCTATAGCACTTACTTCCCTTTGATAAATTAGGAAAACAAAATTACTTCCCTTTATAAAACCATTGCATTAGTCGAAAATAATTTACTTTTTAATTACTTTGTTTTGGTGTTGGGAAAAAAAATAATTACATAATTAGCGGGGATTGATCAAGTGCAAATGTTGTAGGTATTTTACGGATAAGCTTGGAGTATTAAAATTGTTCATCAAATTGAAACAGGCGCGTTCGTTTAAGTGAGTGCAAAAGACTATGAATAAGTTGGGGTACTATAGTCGTTCATTAAGCTAAAACAGGTGATTCCGCCCCGGGCGTTTATGTTCGCGTTAGTGTTTTCTTTGTGTTTAGGTGGGTTTGCGTTAGTGGTTGCGTTTTGATTTGGTTCGTTTTTGTTCTTTCTTTTATCGTTTTTTTTTTTTTTTTTTTTTTTTTTTTTTGGGTTTGTATTTGTGTTTTTGGTTGGTTTTGCGTTTGGATTTGGTTTGTTTTCGTTTGCTTTTTCGTTGTTTTTTTTTTGTTGGTATTGGTGTTTGTGGTTGGGTTTGTTGTTAGGTTTTTGTTTTCGTTTGCTTTTTTGTTTGTTTTTTCTTTGTGTTTGTATTGGTGTTTGTGGTTGTGGTTGGGTTTGTTGTTAGGTTTTTGTTTTCGTTTGTATTTGTAATTGTGTTAGCGTTATGTTTGCGTTTTGTTGTTTTGGTTTTGGTTGGTTGTGGTTTGGGTGGGCAATGCCGGGTTTATGATGATTACTAAACACACAGGTAATGGTCTTTAACAGAAAGGTTTTTCACAGAAGCCAGAGCAGGGCCTGGCCGGGACGGCTAGTGTTCTATATAATATACTTTCAACTAAATAATTTATATTTATACGGTGTAAATGTTCAGTACCATTTTGAACCTGGATCGCGAGGGTGCAGGTGAAGTAGAGTTTACCTATTGCGGTGACCTCGCCATACTAACGGATAGTGTGGTCAGCATTATCTAGTAGTCTTTGCCTAGGGTCAGTCATGTACGTATCAGAATTTCGGGTAGCAGTCGTATGCTCTACCACCCCCGACCACTTCGTCTCCTTTGTAATGTTGTAGTTGGTTAATATATTTACATGGAATGATTCGATACACACATCTTAACAAAGTATATATATATATATATATATATATATATATATATATATATATATATATATATATATATATATATATATGTATATATCAACGAGGTTAAATCAAACATTGCTGAAAGACAGAAAATAAAGACCCCCACTCTACCCTAGCTGGACAAACAGCACATATTTGAACAAACAATTGCTCGGT